CCAATCCACATAACGTCTACACCTTTAGAACGAATGGAAATAAAACAATAATAATAAAACCAAAAGCTTGGGTCTTGACTTTCCTGCTGGGCATCCTGGGGAGAGCTGGGGGTAACTGCTCTCATATTCAGTGCACCTGGAAAAGCAATGCTTTTTTTTAATGCATAAGGAGAAAAACAGCCTAGGTGTTTTCCATCTTGTAATACCATTAGCACAGAGGGAAAAGGATGAGCTCCTGCACTAGGATGGCACCTCAATGCCATCACAGTTTATCTTTTTGCTCTTCTCACAGACGTGAGTTTGTGGAGCACATTGCTAATTCAGTCTAATTGCCTTCAGCTGAGCTCACAGATGCCACCCATTAGCTGAAAGCACACACAGCTCTCATACAATCACCTCCTCTTTCTGATGGGGGAATTCAGACCCCTTCCCAGTTCAACCAGTCCCTGGGTCTGGTGTAATCGATGGGGTGGGTGGGGCCAGCACTTGAAACCTCATCCACTTCTCCTTTACCAGCGAGCAGAGGAGCTCTCTTGCTGCTTATATGTTAGTGGCTGGAAGGGCCTTCTTTCTCTGGAGAAGGGTGGTAAGGGGATTTTGGGGTGTAAGGGATAGGAAAAGGGCAGTGCTGGTTTGGGCTGTGAGAGTGTTGAGAAGTGACTGAAGGCAGGGGAATGGTTCAGGAGCATGAGGTAGAAGAAGCTGTCAATGAAATAGGGAAGAAGGGAGGTGGCTGCTCAGTCTGTTGTGTACAGGGTAATGGCTTGGGGGCTGGGTGCAGTGTTTAGGGCAGGGGGGTGTGCATTGTGTGTGTGAATGTGTTGGGTGAATTCCTTGTGCTGTGCTGTTTGACACAAATCCAGTGCCTGGGTAATCAGGGTGAAGACCTGGAGGGCATGGTCAGAGCCTTTGGTGTCAAGAGCTGATCCCAGGGATTTGGATTGCTGCTGGCACCTTTAGCAGCAGGAATGTCTTCTAGGTGGCAGTTAATACCTTTTTATCTCATGTCTTAGATCCAGATAATGTTCTCTGACATACATCATCTCTTGGAGCTTTTCCTGAAAGGCTTTGGCCCACTGCAGCACATGAAGGCTTTGTAGCTGTGTTGCCTTGCCCAGCCCTATTGAGGGTACATTCACACACCACTGCAGTTCACCACCCTGTGCAGGTGGCTGCTACGCAGGCTGCTTCTGCCTCTTATGGGCTGGGAGCTGCAGTGGGTGAGCATGTGTCCTTGCTCAAGCAGAAGATGGGTTGGGGGGCTGGGGCTGAAGCAGGCCCTACTGAAGGCTCTGGTTTCAGTTGCTGTGAGCTGATGTGAATGTGGGCTGTTGCTTCCTTGTGTTTTCTTGCTCTTTTTCTGAGCTGTAAGCTTTCCCTCAGCTCTAAGGCACCAAGTGTGAGAAGGACCTGCCTTTTAGCTGGTAGAGATGCCAGAGGGCCCATCAGTGAGGAAGTTCCAGCTGCTGACCTCACGTTTTGTGGGACAAGTGGTGGCCAAGGTGGGGGGAAGCAGCAAGAAGATTAATGTGAATGACCTGAATGCCCTGAGGCTCCAGGATTCCCAGGTGAGCTGTGCTGAAGGTGACCCATATCAATCTGTGGCAGGTCTGAGAGGGAAGCCACAGCTACCCTGCATCTGTGTCACAGAAGGTGCGTGGCCTGAGAGTGGCACCAGGGTTGTGTGTGAGGCTGTCATGGAAGGTTTATAGAAGATGAGTCGGTTTGTTCAGTATGTGAACGTCAAGAGGAGCAGCAGCCTTGTTCCTTTCAGCTGTGAGCTGGCACAGAGGCATCCCTTAGACCAGAAAGCCAGGTTTTACTTGGCTAGGTGGATGTCAATGCTGTAGGTACCCATAACTATCTAAGCCACACTAGCCTCACCTCAGACTGCATTGTGGTTCCAACTGTGGGTGCAGGTGTGTGTTGTTCAAGCCACTTGTGGTTGGTCTGAGTGTGTCTGTGTGTCTGCCCTGACATCTCTGTCCTGCCAGGAGCTTCCAGAGTAGCATCTGAACAGAGATCCTCAGGACATTCCACTTTTTTTTCCCCCTCAGGTCCATGGGAAGAACTTATTCCTAGCGTTTGTGGCAGCCAGCTCTCCCTTAGAACCAAGTGTGGAAGAGACAGAGCTGCAAAAAGAGGCTGCCACAGGGTCTAGGTCCCTTGTTCAGGGAAAGCAAGGGCAGGTTTGTGCTCCATTGACTCCGACCCAGGAAGAAGAGCTGCAGGAACTGCAGAACTCCAGACCTGGTGCTCCAAGTGCAGCAGGGGGCCCAGGCAGTTGGCTGCGCTTCCACTTCGGTTTGTTTGGCAGCGTTCGGGCAAACGAGTTCTCAAGAGCAAGCAGAGCCAATAAGAGGGGGGACTGGAAGGACCCTATACCCAGGTATTTGGCAGAGGCCTCTTACAAATGTTCTTCTGTCGTTCTGGAGAGGCCCTGTTCAGGCTAAATTGCTGTGGAAACGCTTTCAGTCCTCTCCTCCTTTCCCCTCAGTGTTAAAAGCAAGCCTAAGTGGTGATATTGTGTCTTCAGTAGATGTGAGGTGTAGTCAACCAGGGAGTCAGCATTGGGTGGTTTGCTGTGGACGTGCTTCATTGTCTTGGTGTTGAGTGTTGTATCCTTAGTGAGAAGTTTTCTGCCCTTTGCCTTCTGCCTCCTCCCAGCTTCAGCATCTGACTATTAGACTCATTAGTATTAGATTGGATAATCATTGGATTAATAGCATGCATCTAGGGTATTTGAGACAGCAGTGAAAATACCATTGTAGGAGCCCAGGTCACTGGTGGTGTATTAAGAGCCACTGGAAATGTGTTAAGGGGTAAATACTGAAGGACAGTGCAGACCCAGCTCTTATGAACTGTTTAATTTGAGGTTGTGGAGTCTCCTCCTCTGCACATGTTCAGAATCTACTTGTATGTCTTCCCATGCAACTGGCTGTAGGGAACTTCTCTCTGCCTGCTGCTGTCTTTAGAACCTGCAGGGCAGCAGGAGGGATAACTGTCCATGAGTTGTGCGTATTTAGAACCTAAAAGCTAACCTGCTTTCTCTGCACTTCCCATTCTTTGCAAGTCTCTTCAGCTAAACCAGAATACAACGAGTGGGTCAGGGTGTTTGTGGCTAGTGATCTCACTCATCTCCTCTGCGTCTCTCAGGCTGGTGCTGTATTTTGAGAGTGGAGGCTTCCTTGTTTTCTACAACTGCCGAATGCACTGGTGCTCATCTCCGGTGGCTGATCCCACTTCTGACATCCTGTCTGCAGAATTCCACCGTGGCCGGGCACTGGATGCCCTCTGCACATCCCATCCCATCTGCTACACCCTCTTGGACCAGAGATACTTTTCAGGGCTGGGTGAGCTCCCAGAGCACAGTGGCAGAGCAAGAAAGAGGAGGGTGGGATGCCTGCACCCAGATCTGCATGTTAGAGCTTCTGCTCCTTAAGGTTATGACGTTGGGTTGATCCAGCTGAGAGGGCACGTGGTGGTTTTGGGGAGGAGAAGGCTTGCAATCTCTAGCTGCAGGCTTCAGATGCTTGAGTGCAGCCTTTGTGTGCAGTGAGCTGTTGTAGCATGGGTGGTTGGTACTTGTGAGAGAAGGATCCACTTGAAGCCTGGTGGGAAGAGACTATCCTCCAGTTTATTCCCAGCTGAATGTTTACTTCTTGTAAGCCGCCTCTGATACAGGAAATGGCATTGCAAGGTGTGATCAATCAGGCTGAAATCAGAGTGGCTGGATATATTGGTCTGTGTCATCTTGCACAGAAATAGCCTTATGATCTCCTTATTTCTGACCCTTTGCAGGGAACATCATTAAAAATGAAGTCCTGTACCTGGTGAAGATCCACCCATTAACACAAGGATCTCTCTTGGCTCAGTCGGATCTGGAGCATCTTCTTGATTGTGCCATTCAGTTCACCTCTGACTGGCTGCAGAGCAAGCTGCAAGGCAAAGGGCTGCACCTGCAGATCTACCAGAAAGAGCACTGTCCTCTTGGGCATGTGGTGATGAAAGGAGCCCTAGGACCCCCGGGTGGCTGGAAAAGGCTTACATGGTGGTGTCCTCAGTGCCAACCTGCAGTGCTGCCAGGGGATGGGGATCTGACCCTGCGCACTGAGTGACGTGGCTCTGTGTTGCTATTTTTTTTTTTCCTTGTGTAGTTCAGCGTTAGATAATCCTGTGCCTGCTTAGAGCTGAGTATGCGTTGTATAGTGATTAAGTGTGGTTAAAATTAAATGGTTGTTCCCTCCATCAGCTCTTAGCAGCTTCCTTCCAAAGGATGAAAACAACCCTCCGCAGTGCTCGGTGCTGCTCATCTCTGCCCGCCTCTGAGCTGTCTGCCCCATTGGCAGGGGTGGCAATGCTCATTAAAACCCATCATTAAGCCATGGATCAGAGGTATGGCAGCTCTGGGGGTGTCGGTGTGTGACATGGAGTATGTAAGACTCATCTTCTCAGACATAGGGTTTGGATTTTGGCTGGCCCGAGGGTTGGGCTCCTTGGGGGTCCCCTCTGCTGTGGGCTGCTCTGTGGGGCTGCTGGCAGCAAGGGAGCACGGAGGGGAAACACCATGGAGGGAATGCACGGTGGGTGACTGAAGCCAAGCAGGAGCACTTCAGCTCTAATTAGGAGTGAAGCAAGAAGGAGCTTGGGGGCACGCCGCGTCCCCGGGATGGCCGTGAGGATGCTCCAAGAGGGGGTGAGGAAGGGTGAGAGGCGGGGCAGCCATGGTGAAGCCCCGCCTCTCGCCCCCTCAGGGCGGCCACGCGAGTGCCGGTGGGCGCCGTCACCCAATCAGCGCCGCCCGCCGGCCGTCACACCAGCTCCGCCGCACTCCTATTGGCTGGCGCAAGGCTGGTGCGAGGACACGTCTCCCAATGGGCTCGCCTCGCGCTAACCGAGCCATGGGACGAGCGAGCTGATTGGACGGAGGGGCGGAGCGGCCCCGCCCACCGGCTGTTAAGCGGCGGTTTGAGGTGGCGGGAGGAGGAACAGGCGAGGGGGGGGGGAGCAGCGAGTCGGGAGCGCGCGGAGCGAAAGCGCGTGTGGCGGCGGTGCGGCCGTCATGGAGCTGCTGAGGAAATGGCTGGGGCACCCCGAGGACATCTACCACCTGCTGCGCTTCAAGATGGGCGGCTACCGCGTCGTCATGCCGCGGATGGACCCGGTGAGCGGCGGGGAGGGGGGTGGCTCAGGCGGGTGTCTCCTCGCGGGGAGGGGTCGGCTGCTGTGAGCATCGCCTGACAGTAGTGCTGTGCAGCAGCTCCCTGCTGCCGTGCGTTGCGCCGGGCCGGCCTTTGCTCGAGTTCTGAGCATTGCATTGCTTCGGAGCATCGCCCGGCTTCAGCGTTGCGTTGTGCATCGCGTCTCTTTGGGACGTCACACGGCCGCGGTGCTTTGCAGCAGCTTCCTGCTTCTAGCTGTGCTTGCATTGCACAGCCGGGATGCTCTGCATGCATCGCAGCTGCTGGGAGCATCGCACAGCCAGGGTGCTTTGCATGCATCCCAGCTGCTGGGAGCATCGCACAGCCAGGGTGCTTTGCATGCGTCCCAGTTGCTGGGAGCATCGCACAGCCGGGATGCTTTGCATGTATCACAGCTGCTGGGAGCATTGCACAACCAGGGTGGTTTGCATGCATCGCAGCTGCTGGGAGCATCGCACAGCCGGGATGCTTTGCATGTATCGCAGCTGCTGGGAGCATTGCACAGCCAGGGTGGTTTGCATGCATCCCAGCTGCTGGGAGCATCGCACAGCCGGGGTGCCTCTCAGCAGCATCCTGTGTGCTGGATCAGCCCTGACACGCAGGTACTCCACACCGCTTTGCAGCACCGTGCAGCTTACCATGCGTTCACACGGGCTCTGCTCTCTCCGTGCATCTCACGGCCGCGGTGCTCTGCACGCACGGCGGTGCTGGCAGGGGGCGCGCCGTTCTTAGGGGCCGGTCTCGGGGCGGAGCCCCCCTCCTTCGGTCGGCCCTCCCCGACACCCCCCCGCCGTGCCCATGGCGGCCAGCAGCAAGGCCACGGCTCTGCTGAAGCGCACGTTGGCTCTGTCCCCCCCTCGGGGCGCTCCCCGGACGGCTTTAGGGCGGCTGCGGGGCGGAGGGCGGCGGGGACAGCGCAGCGCTGCCGCTTCCTCCGGGCTCCCTCCGGCCGCTCGCCTTCAGCCCCCCCCGTTATGCCCCCCGTTGTGCCCTCAGGACTCGCTGGGACTCGGGCTCCGCACCTGTTACCGCTACCTCAACCAGACAAGCCGTAGCTTCGCCGCCGTCATCCAGGCGCTGGATGGAGAGCTGCGGTGAGTGGCGTTGGGGGTGGTTTGTCCGATGCCCACGTTGGTGGCTAAGGGGGGGTGTGCGGTGCTCCCGTGCGCTGGGGTTGTGATAGTAGCAGGGGTCCATGCTGCGTCCCCGAGTGCTGGAGAGGTGTGGCTGAGCAGATCTGGGTGTCTGTGCACTGTCTGCATGTGCTGGGGGTGTTTGGTTGGGATAGCAGCAGGCGTGGATTGTTAATAGTACTGGGGATGTTGAATTGGGATAGCTGTGGAGTTTGTACAGTGCCCCCCAAGTGCTGTAGCTGCTTGGTTGGGATGGCAGGAGGTGGCTATGCTGTGTCCCCAGGCTTTGGGGTGGCTTGGTTGGGATGGCAGGAGGTGGCTATGCTGTGTCCCCAGGCCTTGGGACTGTTTGGTTGGATGCTGCGTCCCCAGGCTTTGGGATGGCTTGGTTGAGATGGCAGGAGGTGTCTATGCAATATCCCCAGGCCCTGTCTGAGCTGGTTGAGGCTCTGTGCAATGTCCCTGAGTACTGGGGATGCTTGATTGAGCTGAGCTGAGCAGGGGGTGTTGAGCCCATGCAGTGCCCCCAGGTGCTAAGGCTGCTGGTTTGGGATGGCCAGGGGTGTCCATGCAAGTGTCTTGGGCACCAGGACTAATTGGCTGGATTGGTTGGGAGGTGTCCATGCTACACTCCTTGACTGAGCCGTTGGGAAGTGCTCTACCACGCTGAGCAAAGCTTTCCAGGGGGTGCTCAGTGCAGCCCTACTACGTGCAGCAAGACATGTGCGTTATCCCAGCAGAGTTGCTCAAGCATGATGCCTCCATTCTGCTCCCTAGCAGCAACAGAACTCCTGTGTTCTTCAGCCTGGGCGTTGCAAGCTCTCAGCCAGCAGATGGTTAAATGCAGCACTGGGCAGCGTGCTGTTTGTGACACCCTGGGAATGTGTGTCCTGGCAGCTACGGGAGCTGCCTTTGGGTGCCTTGCTGGCTGCGAGGGGTGGAGAGGCATGGTGGGAAGCAGCAAACAAAACAAGGGGTCTGAAACCTGCAGGAAGGGTGCGTGTGGGATCAGCTGCCTCTAAACTTCATCTGAGAGTTCCTCAGAGGCTTGCTCTGTGCTCACTTTTGCTTTACAAGTTTTGATAACCTATGCAGGAAAGCTGCACGTGGTAATAATAGCAGATGATGCAAGACTCAGCTTGCCTTGAGATTTTGTACATACCAATGCACGTTTTTCCTACTTCGTTATATTCTTATAGAAATGGCTGTTTTCAGTACTGTTCTTTTTCCATTTAATCCCAAGCCAGGTCAGTAGTTAAAGCCAGAGGTTGCTGTAGGTTTCACTCTGTGCTTGCAGCCGAACAGCTTTGCACAGTGTCGGCCCTAACACTGTGCTGTCTGTGGGTTTCCCAGCCCTGGGCTGGTATTTTGGACGCTGACCCATAGTTATATCCAGCATTTGTGAAGTGTCTGCAGGCTGTTTTGCAGGAAGGCAAAGAAACCCAGTGGTTTGGCTCAGATTGCATAGGAAGGCATGAGCAGAGCCAGGAACTGAACTTCTTTTTCTCCTTGCTTGCTGTATTTGCTAATACAGATATTAAGATACAGAGCAGTAACACACCTTGCAACCTGCTCCCTGTGTCTGTATGCAGTGCTTGCCTCGGTCATCCCACTTTTATCTCCCTTGTCTGTCTTTCTGCTCTTTATCCTTGCGTTGTAGCTTACTGGGATCATGAAGGCTCCTTATCCTGAGGGCTCAGAAACTCCATGCCTGGCATCCTAAAAACGTTGTTGCTGGATATTTGCAGCCTATGTGAAGGGATTGTTGCTGAATTCCAGGCTGGATGTGGCTCTGGGCAGCCTGGTCTGGTGGTTGGCGACCCTGCACATAGCAGGAGGTTGGAACTGGGTGATCATTGTGGTCCTTTTCAACCCAGGCCATTCTGTGATTCTGAATTGCAGCTGGCTCTATAAATACATTATCAAGGCACAGCGGTTTCACTTCAAGAGTTTTTGAGGCAAGAGGGAGAATAGGAAGGTTGTGATTTACGGGGCTTGAACCTGATTGGAACAGCAGGGCTTCCCAAGGAGTTGATTTTGCTAGCTCAGGTCAGAGGAGCGCTGACTCATAACAAGAGTAAAACTGGCTCGTAGCAGAGTTACAGTGCTTCCTCTGAGTACTTCATAAAGCAGAGCTTCTGGGAAAGTGCTTGGAGTGATGCTCCCCAGGCTCAGGTACTGCGAGCTGGGCTAGAAGGCATTGGTGTCCTCTTAGTTTCTTTTTGGTTGGATAAATCTTGTGGCACGTGGGCCATAGAATTATGTCATAGAACCACAGAATGGCCTGGATTGAAAAGGACCACAGTGCTCATCTACTCATCTATCAGTGCTATGCTTTCAACCCCCCTGCTATGTGCAGGGTCTCCATGACCTTATGCAGCCCATTTCTTTCTTGGAAGTGGGAGGCTCGAAACTTGGATTTCATCACCAGCTGAGCCAGCATCATAGCTTCTGGTGGTGGGAAGAGGAGAGAGAGGCTACCTGGTTCCTCTGCTCCCAGTCCAGGCCTCCTTTGGGATGGATGCTGCGGGTTCCTGTGGTGTGCAGAGAAAGGAGACCTTGTCTGGGGATGGGAGAGCTGCAGCTAGGACAGAAATGGAGAAACAGAATCATAGGATATCCCAAGTTTGAAGGGACACACATGGATCATCGAGTCCAACTCCTGGCTGCGTGCAGGACCAGGACCCATCCCAGGCACAGAACTCAAGCTCCAGCCCCAGGCTGAAGTCAGACTTGCTCTACAGAAGCCATCACTTCTCATTTGTGAAGAGAAGGAGGTGCTGCTCCTCTGCCCAGCACTGCTGTGTGCTTTTTGGCAAGGACGACACTGCGTTGTTGGCTTTGGCCCCTCACATCAGCCTCAGTCTGGAGCTGCTTTCACCTAGTAATGAGTGCTTAAGCAATCCCAGCTCATTTCCATTTGTCAGCCATTTAATAAGTACATCACCCCTTTGGAAATTCACTGTGCTCATCAAGAGCTAGGGGATTATTTTACATACATCCAGTGTTTCTCATTGTCAGGAAAGTTTTCTGTGCTGCTTTTTACAGCAGTACCCTTTCCGGTGTGCTGGAGCACCTCTCCTATGAGGAAAGGCTGAGGGAATTGGGATTGTTTAGCTTGGAGAAGAGAAGGCTCTGGGGAGACCTCATTGTGGCCTTCCTGTACTTGAAGGGAGCCTATAAACAGGAGGGAGAATGGCTGTTTGTGGGGGTGGGTGGTGATAGGACAAGGGGGAATGGTTTTAAACTGAGACAGGGCAGGTTTAGGTTGGATCTGAGGAGGAAGTTTTTCCCCCAGAGGGTGGTGAGGCACTGGCACAGGTTGCCCAAGGAGGCTGTGGATGCCCCATCCCTGCAGGCATTCAAGGCCAGGCTGGATGTGGCTCTGGGCAGCCTGGGCTGCTGGTTGGTGACCTGCACACAGCAGGGGGTTGGAACTGGATGAGCACTGTGGGCCTTTGCAACCCAGGCCATTCTAGGATTCTGTGAAGCCATGCTTTTCACCTTTAACCTGTTCTTATTGCCCCAGGATTTGAGCATCCCATCCTAAGGCACTTTATTCTTACCTTCTTTCATGGCCCAAGATAAGCAGTGTCCTCACAGCAGTGCTGGAGGGGGATTGGACACGAGTGTCTCCATGCTTGTGTTGATCTGGAAATGCCACCCTGAACACTGTGTGATGAATCTTAGCTGTGTTTCCTGTGTGACAGGTGATTGTTTCTTCTCTCCCCACAGGCATGCTGTCTGTATATTTTACCTAGTTCTCCGTGCCCTGGACACCATAGAGGATGACATGACCATCAGCTTAGACATAAAGGTCCCGATGCTGATTGAGTTTCACTCTTATCTCTATCAACCGGAGTGGAAATACATGGAGAGCAAGGAGAAGCACCGGCAGGTGCTGGAGGACTTCCCAACAGTAAGGCACCCACCCCCTCCTTCAGCTGCATGGGTTGCCTTGTGTGCAGCCATCTCCATGTTGCACGTGGTTCTGTAGCTCTGCGTGTGGGGTTGGAGGGCAGAACCCTCTCACTTTCTGTGCTGCTTTATGCTTTTCCTCCTGTGCAAAGGGCACCTGTGTGCTTTGCAGAACCAAAACTAGTGAGGGCTTAGGAGAACAGAGCACCAGGAAGTTTTTCCCCCAGAGGGTGGTAGAGGCACTGGAACAGGTTGCCCAAGGAGGCTGTGATGCCCCATCCCTGCAGGCATTCAAGGCCAAGCTGGATGTGGCTCTGGGCAGCCTGGGCTGCTGGTTGGTGACCTGCACACAGCAGGGGGTTGGAACTGGATGAGCATTGTGGGCCTTTGCAACCCAGGCCGTTCTAGGCTTCTATGAACTTCTTACCTTCCCTATGGTCTGCACAACATGGTGCTCTCATAAATTAGAAGAAATTTTGTGTGCCAAGTGTAGCTAGTTTTGTCCTGTAACTCTCAGATTATACCAGTCCAAGGCCACAGAGCCTTCCCAAAGATATTGTTGTGTCTGATCTGCTGCCAGAGATTGTAGCATTTAGATTGAGAACAGACTGAGCCTGTGCTTTGAGGGCCTTGAAACAACTCTCCTTGTGGGAGTTGTCCTGGATCTCTAGCCAGGGATGTGAGCCTGGTAAACAACTCTTACTCTTGTCTTCTAATAAAAGGTGAACTCTGATGTTGTTTTCTTTGTTCTTGACACTGTCTTTATTTCCTCTTGTTTGTACGTGATACAGATCTCCATGGAGTTTAGGAACCTGGCAAAGGTCTACCAGGATGTGATTTCTGATATTTGTCACAAGATGGGTGTTGGGATGGCGGAGTTCTTGGAAAAGAAGGTGGATTCTCAGAGTGAATGGGATCGGGTAAGTCTGTCCATACACAGTGAATGACAGAAGTGCAGTGAGTCAGTGGAAGACCCCAAGAAGACAGGGTTTCAGTTACCTCTGAGGAGCAGGGCTGGCCATTGCATCTCTTCCTACATGATATTCATATCCAGGAGCCTTCTCCTGAAATCCAGCATCTTTCATGTCCATGTCTCTAAGGAAAGGGCATTCCTGTGTGAAGTGGGTTCAGCAGGGTGAGGGAGGCAGGCTGTATGGGCTTGGAGAGAGTGGAACTGCTGGTCCTGTGGTAACAGGAGGGTGTGGATGACTGGTGTAGCCCACCAGCACGTTTTGGGTGACCCAACATGTCAGCTGTTCCCTTGTGGGCAGCCCATTTGGTGCTGAGAGCAGAGTGGCACCAGCAGTCACTGATGTGGCAGAAGACTTCCTTGGCAAAGCGTTTGCTGAGCACGGAAAGGCTGAGATGGAGCAAGGAGAGCCATGCAAACTTGCAGAAAACGTAGTGTGAATTACCTCCTGAGCTGTGAAACATGCTGTGCTAAGTAGGCAGCTCTTAGTAACTGCTCCTTTTATCTTTTTTTTTTTTTCCCTGCCCTTTCCTCTCCTGGTGCCTCACAGTATTGCCACTATGTGGCTGGGCTGGTGGGGATAGGCCTTTCCCGACTCTTCTCTGCATCAGAGCTGGAAGATCCTATTGTAGGACAGGACACAGAGCTGGCAAACTCCATGGGCCTCTTCCTGCAAAAAACCAACATCATACGTGACTATCTAGAAGACCAGCTGGAAGGAAGGGAGTTCTGGCCAAGGGAGGTAAGGGAAAACGTTGCCTTTAGGTGAGCATGTCTGCTGTGCTTCTCAAAATGCTTGTACTGTGCTAAAAAAGACTGAAAGTGCTGTTGTTGCTGGTCTGACAGTGAATTGCAGCTTCTCCTTGTAACAGTTCCTTCAAGAGTTGTCTTGAAAATCCCCGTGGCTGGGGTTTTTCCATCACTGATAATTTTGTTCCTGTCCCTTTATAATCTTTTGTACTCCTATTCAGGATCTGTTGTGGGTGTAGCCAACGAGCCATGCTTTGGAGCATGTAGGCATGAGACACTGTAGGACACGTGTCTCACAAATGCTCTGCAGGGTGCATAGTTTAAGGTGCACTGCTAAAATTATAGCATCCATTGTGTCTCTTTAAATCAAAGTTAATGGGAAAGGTTTGATAGTCTACAGGTCTGTCTGATAAGCATTTTGTAATACCAGCCTGGCACATGAGCTGTATTTCTTTGCCCTGCCTAGAGAAGACATGAAAGTGCACCCTTTTTCCTCACAGAATCACAGAATGGCCTGGGTTGCAAAGGCCCACAGTGCTCATCCAGCTCCAACCCCCTGCTGTGTGCAGGTCACCAACCAGCAGCCCAGGCTGCCCAGAGCCACATCCAGCCTGGCCTTGAATGCCTGCAGGGATGGGGCATCCACAGCCTCCTTGGGCAACCTGTGCCAGTGCCTCACCACCCTCTGGGGGAAAAACTTCCTCCTCAGATCCAACCTAAACCTCGTTTAATGTCTCAGTTTAAAACCATTCCCCATCTATACAAAGGTCCCATCTGTATGAAGGTCACTGTCACATTTCCAGAGCCCTTCCTTTAGCCTACTAAGCCCCAGTCCTCCTAGGCTCTTCTGATCATTCTTGGTTCCCCCGACCTCTCACTGTAACTGGTGTTGCTTTTATGATATGAATGTACCCTCCAACTTCTGAGTCCTTATCTTGCTGTTTAGGTTTGGAGCAGATACACAAAGAAGCTCTCTGACCTTACCAAGCCAGAGAACATAGATATGGCTGTGCAGTGTCTGAATGAGCTCATCACCAATGCTCTCCGCCACGTACCTGATGTCCTCACTTACTTGTCTCGCCTGAAAAACCAAAGTGTCTTCAACTTCTGTGCTATCCCCCAGGTAGGTTATTACATACAGGTGGTTATTCATCATCTGCAGCCCAGATGATCTGAAGTTGGAGGTGGGAGGGTTACGTAGCGTGTGATAGCCTGCATTATGCTGGTACCTGCCACTTCTGCTGTAGGTGATTGAGACTGCAGCTTCACTCCAGTGTGTTCTGCCAGTGATGTCACTTGGACCAAGGTTATTTCTGGAACAGCACTGGAACAGGTTGCCCAAGGAGGCTGTGGATGCCCCATCCCTGCAGGCATTCAAGGCCAGGCTGGATGTGGCTCTGAGCAGCCTGGGCTGCTGGTGGGAGATCCTGCACACAGCAGGGGGGTTGAAACTAAATGATCATTATGGTCATTTTCAACCCAGGCCAGTCTATGATTCTATTTCCTTTGCAGTCAGCTTGTAACGAGGGCTCTTTGTGTTTCTCCTTAGGTGATGGCTATTGCCACTCTTGCTGCCTGCTATAATAACAAGCAGGTGTTCAGAGGGGTAGTGAAGATCCGGAAGGGACAAGCTGTCACTCTGATGATGGATGCCACAAACATGCAATCTGTCAAAGCCATCATGTACCAGTATGTGGAAGAGGTAGGTTGAACAGCTTGCTTGGAATCATTTCTGGCTGTTGTGTTCTCATTCCTGGTGTGGAATTGGCTGTCCCTTGCAGACCCATGAATGTTAATCTTTTCATTACATTTCTATTAGTGCCAGGACACCTGACGTGGTGCTGGCATCAGCCAAACTGGCTGCTTGGTCTTTTAAACATACCCTTGGTCTGTGCCTGTGCAAAGAGGCAGAGACCAATGTCTTGTCTTGATTCTGATTGAGAGTAAGATGAGTCAGCTTTCAGAGCACCAGAGCTTCCCATCTGACCAGGCAAGATGACTGTTCCAGCAGTGCTTTTCTTCTAAACAGGTTGCATCATCTCCCCAAAGACAGCTCTGCAGCTAGTGCTCTTGTTTTCACCATGTCCGTAGTTGCAGCTAATGTGGTGCAGTTTGTGTTTGCACTTCCTGGCCAGCATTAACTAAGGCTGGCTCTTTGCAGGTATTTAAAGCAGCGGAACTCATGGCTTCAAGGTACTGTGGGTGATAAAAGTTTACAGAGAAAGAACAGCTAGTGAATGGATTCATGGGATTCAGTGGGGAGTGTTTAATAAAAACATGTCATGTCGTGCATCAGCAAGACCCCAAACCATGGGCTGTTAGAGCTCCCTTTGGAGGCAGGCCAAACCCATGGCAACGGGATTTTCCAACCCCGATACCATGGTGTTTTCCAGTCGAGGTAACTGTCTGAAGTCACACCAGCTGCTGATCACCCTGGGGTGTCCTTGCTGATTTGGGTGAGCTGCAGCCCAGCAGCAGTGAGTGAGGCTTGCTGGGCCAGAGCTACTTGCCCCAGAGCACTGCTTTGTGGCTGATGTTTGCATCAGAGGCATGGTAGTACATCTCCCGTCATGGGGTGCCCTCAAGAGGCTGCCTGGCTTAATGCACTTCTCAAGGGAAGTGGACTTTGGCCCCATGCAGCAGCTGAGCCATCCACCATGAGGTTACTCTTGAGGATGTGCTGCTTCGTGACCCACGAAGCTCCCTCTTCCACGCAGAAATCCCATTTATCTCCTCAACCACATATATAAACCACGCTCCCCCTTCTCCCCTCCCCAGATCTACCAGAAGATCCCCAGCACGGACCCTTCATCCAACAAGACGCAGCAGATCATCGCCTCCATCCGTGCCATGAGCCTGCCCAGCGGCCCCATGGCCTCACGCCATCACTATTCCCCCATCTACCTGTCCTGTGCCATGCTCCTGGCTGCCCTCAGCTGGCAGTACCTCAGCACCATCTCCAAGGCCACCGAAGAGTACGTCCAGGCGGGTGAGAACTGAAGAGCCAGGAGGGTGGCAGGAGTGAGATGGTCAGTAGATGGGCAGCAGAGGCTCCTTGTCCCCTGGTGGTGGGGATGGCCGGGTGCCACCGGGTCCACGGGCAGTGATGAGGATGGGATGCTGGTGGGGTTGGAGCATCGGGGCGATGGTGTGGCGTTGTCAGACCCCGCTCCTCCCCAATCCTTCTGTCTGCACAGATGGTTACAAATGCCAGTTGGAGTCTTAACTGTTTGGGGTTGCATTTTTTTTCCTCCTTTCCTGTTGGACAGTTTACCTGATTATCATTATTACTATTATTTTGGTTAGGATGGTTTAAATAGAAACTTCAATTGCCTCTTTTCTTGCTTGAGATTTGAGACCCCTTTCCAGCTCAGAACTGGGATGGGAGCCTTTGGGTTTTGCCTCCCTTACTTAACCCTTTCCCCATCACTTCAACACTGGAAGCATATGGAGGGCTCTGGCTTCAGCAAGGAGGGACAAGTCTTAAAAGGTCTGGCCATCTTCTGGCCACCAACCCAGGCTGGGTGACATCCTGCAGCCTGGAAATGGGCAGGGGCAATCTTCACTTTTGTGTTGTACTGGAAGAGGCTGCTAGGCTTGAAACAAGCCCTTTTGTTGTTAAGTATGTTGGAGATGTTAACATGCATCCTGCTAAAAGCCATCTGCTGCATCTTCAAGCACTGCGCTGTGGAGTTGTAGAGCTTTGTATTTTACCAGCTGAGGGGTGGTGAAAGGGAGGGGGAAGGAGGTGCCACCTACCCTCTGCTGTCTGGGCTCTGCACTTCTTCAGCCCAGGGGGATGGGTGGCCTGGGCAAGCTTCCCCGGCCCAGGGATGCAGCTGGGGATGCTTAGGGTTCTGCTGGCACATGAACTGGAAGAGTTCTCCGCTGCTCCTTTGAAAACACAGCAGCCTGGACTGTGAGTGGGCCATGTTTCTAATGTGAACAACCAGGGCTGAGAAGAGGAGACAACTGTTTCAAGTCTCGTTTTCCTGGGGTGTAATTGTTTTCAGCGTCCCTAATTCTCCACTGCTGCTTTGTGTGATGGGGGGGGACAGCCTGGTACAGGACAGAGAAAAATCTACCAGGTAGTAAGGCCAAGCCTGTGTGGCCAGACTGTTACTTGGAGGGAGGATCCCTACTCTACAAGGACTGCTGTAGATAGTTTTAAGCTGTTGTTCAAAAGAACTTGTGGTAGCTCCCTTTGTGCAGCTTCCTGTCTTGTTGAAATTAAAGTTTTCTTTGGAAAGAAAAAAAAAAAAAAAAAGAAAAATGTGTTTTGTGCATTTTTTTTTCCGGCTCTTCTTTCTTTTATTGTGGTATTTCCTTGCCCTGCCACAAGCTCTAGCCCTCAGCTCAGCTGAGTGTGGATGCTTCCTAACTCACACTGCCTTTCTGTGTTGGGACTGCAGGTGTCCTGTTGGCTGCAGCCACCCTGTTCCCAGCACAGCCAGAGCAAACACAGGCTGCACTCACATGAAGACATGCATGAAAGGGTCACACCTGGCTTCCACGACAGCAAAGTAACGAGAAGAATCATAGAATGGCCTGAGTTGAAAAGGGCCACAGTGATCATCTGGTTTCACCCCCCCCTGCTATGTGCAGCTTGATGATGTTTCAGCTCACAAAGCACAAGTGACCACCAGGTGTTGGAGAAATCATTTATTGGCACAGTCGTTTCATTCGGATACACCAAAGTTCTGTTTCAATGAGTAAGCAGAGGTAGGGGGCTATTTTACAGTACAAGGGGAGAGCCTGCTTCACTCATGTCAGCTGTGTGGCCTTAGCTCGCCAATAGACTCTGTGCTTTCAGAGAAAATAAAAGGTTCTTCCATTACATTAGCACGGGCAGATCATACGATTCCTCCTACAGTTACTACACCTCCCACCCCCCCCCCCCCAGTTAAAAAAAAAAATAAGGGTATTTCTTCCTTGATACTTGTGGCTCCAAGAAAGCTTTAGAGGTGTGCAAATAAGCAAGATACCTGCAAGCATCTGTATGAGCTCCCTGCAGCAGAGCTGGGGAACGCTTTGCAGCCGACATTCAGTGTCTGCAGTCCCAAAGCACCACGCCAACATGCTGAAAGCAGCACCCTCACCAAGGCACGACCCAAAGCACAACCCAAGCTGCCTTTGACAGACACAGCTTCCCCTTTCTAGCAGTGCTGCAGGACATTTGATCAAAGGCTCATGGAGCTCAGGCCAGGCCCTTCCCTAGGATCAATAACCCCAGACTACAGCAGGAAAAAAAAGAAAGAAAGAAAAAAAGAGTTAAAAAAGAAAATGAGTGGTTTAGAAAGCAGCCAAAATAATGGAGCAGAGTGAGCAGTGCACAGATGACTTATTTCAGGCAGGAGGGGCTCTATGCAGCTCCAGCCAGAGCCAGCCCCACATCAGGTTCTTCAGTTTCCTGTCATTACAAAGTCCTAACCCATCCAGCAAGGCACAGGCTCTCTTGCACACCCTGCTCCTTTTGGGTGCCAACAGCAGCCGAACCAGCCCAGCCACAAGTGCACAAGCCATGCATGGACACAACCTGCATTACCCATCTCTGCTGCCCCACCAAGTCCCTGTTTCCAGCACAATGATTCCCATCCTCCCAGTAATACATCGGGCTGGAAGGGTTTCAGGCTACCCAAAGACCACAGCACGTGGGGTCACAGAGCCCTCCAGCAGTCCTCTGAGCAGGGAATGCCCTCCAGCTGCGAGCCACCAGGAGCAGAGGGCTTGCAGACAGCAGCTCGCAAGAACACAGAACCTGCCACCTCCAGCTCCACCGTACAACTAAAACCAGAACGAAATAAAAAGATAAAAAGCTTTAATTAAAGGAACCTCAACTATAGTCTCTTAAGAGTGGGGGCTCTGCGCCCAACCCGCTATCAGTTAAAAGCGTCAGGGACTTGGGATTATTTGTGGTGTGATCAACTCATCAGCAGTGATGCAGGAGGGTGGTTACACCCTCGTCCAGTATTGCTCCGTCCTGGGGACTCCAGCCACGATCTCAGACTCAATGCCACAGTGGTCCTCTCCTCGGAGGATTTTGAAGAAGCCTGGAAGGACACCATGGAAAGAAGTCACCTCCCTCTGCACCAAATGCCCAAGGAGACCCTGCAGCACCAACAGCTCTGTGCTCCTCACCGTTATCTCCCCAGTCGGTGTTCCAGGAGTTGGCAGCCAACCAGTACGGGGTCCCATTCTCGACGCCCCAGCCCAGGATCCGGATGGCGTGGCCTCCAACCTGCTCTCCTGACACGTGCTGGTACACCCCTGCAAGGCAACACGTCAATGGCCTTCTGCTGTACAGCACCAATGGCTGCCAAGGGATTCTATGTAGAACCCCAGAGACCTGATGAGAAAGCGGGGTCTTTTTGTTAAATGCACTCAAACAAAAAGCTTAAAAATGGAATAAAGGAGAGTCTGGAAACACTGGCACAGGTTGCACAGAGAGGCGGTGGTGCCCCATCCCTGCAGACAGCCAAGGTCAGGCTGGATGGGGCTGTGAGCACTGATGGAGCTGTGGGTGTCCCTGCTCAGTGCAGGCAGTGGGACAGATGGCTTTGAAGGGGCCCTTCCAACTCCAGCAGTTCTACTGTGAACTTGAGAACTCCTTTCAGACTTGCAAACAGGGAAAGAGCCACACAGATGAAGCAGGTGAAGCCCTGAAGCTGATGCTCACCAGATTTGTACATCAAGAAGTCCTCGTAGACAATAAAGGCTCCTTCCACTGGGCCATTCTTGTAGATCTCAGCCATGATTTCCTTCTCGCTGCGAGGGACACCATAGGATGTGATGCCTGGCAAGGTGAAAGAAGTCCTACTATCAGCACAGCACCACTGAGCCCATCAGACCTTGGGATGGCTGTACCATGACTCTGGAAGTGGGCCCCAGCCCACTTGCAGAACCCCAAGCCCTACTCTGTACCTCTTGTCCAACTTCATTTCCAAAACAAAACAAATTACTTGGCGCTAAGACAAATCTCCAAGCAGCAGCCAGACTACCCCACATATAGAAGAATATCACTACCAGCAGTGGGTAGGAAAGGGAGCAGCTTCAAGGCCATCCTCTTGGGGGGCTCAGGACCTTGCCATTCAACCCAGACACGGGCACCATCACAGCAGTGAGGGGACTCACCTTCCAGCAGCTGCAGTGAGGCCACAAGGACCCACACCAGCTCCCCCATTAATACAAACAAGCACATCTGACAGGCTTATGCATGCCCCAAGAACCACCCATTCTGAAGATGCCCAGGAACCCAAACCAGCTACCACAGAATTGCTTCAGAAGAAGTTCAGCCCCTCAGGGATCAGTTCTGGAGCTCCTGAGCAGCATTGGAGGCCATGTCCCTTACCGTAGTGCTTGTCCTCCTTGTAGGAAGGTGAGTAACCAGGTTCACAGTGCCGGCTGCACCTGGGGGTTTCTCCTCCCTCCCCAGTGCAGGGTGGCCGGGAGCCATTGACGTGGTGCTCACAGGGTGGGATGGTGTAGGGCCTGCAGCCTGGCAAGGGCAGAGGTGCCATGAACTGACAGTCCCCCAGTGCCCCCATCCCCAACAGCCACACTAGAGAAGACATCTGAAGCCATGAGCAAGGGCATGACCCTTCTGACCCAGAAACCCTATGGATCAGTGGGTGCAAGCAGGAGTAGGTCATCACCAGATGAGCAATCAGGGCAATTTTCCAGCCTGGAAATTGCTTTTGAAAGAAGAAATCTGTCAGAAGGATTCTCGCTCTCACCAAAAGCATATTAAACTGGTTTAAAGCCACCCAAACAGTTCACAGCCTAATTCAGGCCTGCCCAGACTATGAAAGCAAAGACCTGTGGGGCTGTAGCTCTGACCACTGTGTTGCCTTCTGTGCAGGCCTCCTGCAGGTGAGTACTGCTCAGGGACCTTTGTCCCAATTGGGGGACAGCAAGAGTCAGATGGGCCCAAGGCTCAGACCTGAAAGAGGAAGCAGCCACTAGGATGCAGACCAGCATGCCCTCAAGGAAACGATCCTATAACCAAGCTGAGATGCTCCTCTTTGCTTTCACCAGTGTATGCACCAGCACTTACCCACATGGGAGTCATAGAGACCCCCGGACACGAGGCCCCTCTCTGTCCAGTACCTCCATGCACCAGAGGGGTAACCACCATTGCACCTGCAGAAAGAGGCAGCAGTATGAGCTCCAGCCTGCTCAGAGCCAAAACCATCCCCTTCTGAGAGAGGAGGGAGCAACTGAGCCCATCTGGGACAAATAGAGGGAAGCATTCTGCATATCAATGCTTTGAAGCCTCACAGCAATAAGC